TAATGATGTTCAATTTGTAACAATGAAAATACATCCTGAATATCAGATATTTACATGACGATTCCTAACAGCAGCAAAATTACAGTTATGAAATAGCAATGAAAATAATTTTATGGTTAGGGGGGTCACCACAACATGAGGAACTGTATGAAAGGGTCATGGCATTAGGAAGGTTGAGACCTACTGTACTAGACATAATGAAAAATGCCTCCCCCGGCCCCCAGATATTTAGATGATTTTGCTGTTTCTCAGACTCCCACAGACCTCATGCCTAGGCAGTATAACATAAGACTTCCTGCTGAGTAACTGCATGGATGCAATCGATGCGCACCTCACACATTGCTGAATGCATCTCCATGCCTCCCTGTGCCCACACTTCGGTGGCACTTACTGCTCATGTTAAGTGTAGGACACTACAGTAACGTTGCCATTCGTCTTCCTGCCTCTACCCTAGACTCCCTCCTTTTGATACCTTTTGTGTATGGACATTCATTTAAGTGAAACCTAAATGAAACCAAAGTTGTCCTCTGACTCTCAATGGGATCTCTGTGCAAGAAACATTAAAACTTCTGATCTAACCCTTCTGTTCAGGCTTTGAAAGTCATTCACACTATATCAGCACTCGTTTGTTCTGCCACTGTACATGGGCTTTTCCAAGACCTGACTCCTGTCCTAACTCTAGCTTCATCTTTCTCCACCTCCCTTCCCCATCCCATTCCCATCTGCACCTCCTGCTTTCCCTTCCAGAAAAATGAGGCTGATTACACACTCCTCATCAAAGACAATTTGAGACTTTGCTCACATAATTTGAAACACTAATTTTTATAAGCAAATTGATCTAGTATTAGCTATAAATATGAATAACTAGGTGCATGCAATGATTGGTTTTGTACTATTGCAATAAAGTCATGCATTTTATAGTCACCAGTCTAGAATGTACCTCTTCAAATCATCTCCTATCATAGAATTGCCATGGTCAGAAATTGTACTTTAAGCCAAATACAAATAGGGGCTCATAAAATATTATTGTACTTGGAATAGGCAGGAATATTTCTTCATATCTACCTGTACTTTTATGGAAAACATGTCTTTTGAAAAAAATACAATGTTTTCAAATTT